GCTGGGATTACAGGTGTGCGCCACCATGCCAGGCCAGGAATATTTTAAAGAATCCCCCCCAATTGAAAAGTGCTTATATCTTTAAAAGAAACAAAAGAATCTCATTGCCTTATCCATTTTGTCAAAACTGCATATAGATGCTAATCCAAATCAAATGTGCATGCTAGGGAAATTTCCAAAATACTAGAGAAATGGAACTCAGTTTTTCAGGAGTCATAAAAATAAGTTTTCATATATGTTCTTTTTAAGACTGTGGGTTGACTAAATTGCCCAAGCAAGAAACTACTATGTGAGCTTCTAATCCCAAAAGATCTTGGAAGTTGATTCTTGCTGCCATAGAAGTTAAAATTTTCAAGGCTGTAATACAGTTTAGGTTTTTTTAAATTTTTATTTATTTTTTTAAAATTCTGTACTACGGGTTGAATCCAGAGCCTTTGTACTGCGCTACATTTTTAAATTTTTTATTTTTGTTTTAAAACCAGGTCTGTAAGTCACTAAATTGCCCAGGGTGGGCTTGAACTTTTGATCCTCCTGCCTCAGCCTCCGGGAGTGCTGGGAGTATAGGTGTGGACCATTGTGCTTGGCATATGCCTTGGTTTCTGTTGATTTCCAGAACTGATGTCTGCAGCTGTACAAACAATCCAGGTTTAAAGAAAAAAATGTTCGTGGACAAAATTAAAATGATAGCAGCTGGGCATGGTGGTGCACGCCTGTAATCCCAGCACTTGGGAGGCTGAGGCAGGAGGATATTGCGAGTTTGAGGCCATCCTGGGCTGCAGAGTGAAATCAAAGTTGGCCTGAACGCAAAAAGACAAAAAAATAAAAAATTAATGCTAGCACCCGCATCTCACCCTTCAGGATCCTGGGCAGAGAGTTCCCAATCCATCCCTCCGGGGCGCCCACCAGCTCTTCCAGGCAGGCCTTACTGTTTTCTTTTGCTAAATAAGACGGAACCCCAGGTACGCGAAGCGCCTCAGCTAGTATATGATGGAATGTCCCCGAGTCCTGAGCCCGAAGTCCACACTCGGTCCCTTCCAGGAGGAGGCTGGCTTCACCGCTCACATTTTGAGGCCGGCAGACCTCGCCTCCTTTGTGCCTACCTTGTGCCGGCACTGCGCTGCCTCAGCTAATTCAGCGGAGACTGAGACAAACAACAACTTAGCCGGAAATCAGGTGATGGGGCCGCCGGGGAGGAAGGGACACGGGGCAGATGGGACGAGCAGCCGGGGAAGCGATGGGCGCCGGGGAGGAAGGGACACGGGGCAGATGGGACGAGCAGCCGGGGAAGCGATGGGCGGGGAGCGGCAGCCGCGGATCAGATGCAGAGTCCAGAGGAAGAGCCGGGGAGGGGGCACCCAAGACTCTCCAGAGGGTGGGACAGGTTCGCTGTGCTGAGAAGTGAGGCTGCTTCTGCGGCTTTAGCAGACTCTGCGGTGAGTT